GGAATCCGATCACCGCTCCTAAGGAAGAAAGAACGGTGAGTGCTTTTTTTCTTTTTTGTTGGAAAGGGGGGGTAGTCATTTTTGGTCTTGGGATTTGTTAGAGTTTAGGGATTAGGGCTTAGAATATAAGTTATAAGTCATCGTTATAAGTCATCGGAGTTCGGGTTTTGGGTTTAGGGATTGTAAGTCTTGCGATCTGCGGTTTAGGGTTTAGGATTTAGGGTGATGAGGTCTGTTTGGGTCTAAGATGGAGTCGCTTGGGGCGTGCCGTATGATTGGGATAGGCTCGTGGGGTTTTGTGTCTCTTGGGGTTGGGATAAGATGGGGATAAAGTCACATGTTGTTTACGATATAAGGTCTCTTGGGTTTTGAGCGGTTCGGAGTTTACACGCAGGGTGCCGAGCGTCTCAGTTGAATAGGGTCCTAAATTGACACAAGGGTCATGCACAATACGTACCATCATAAGGCCCCTGTGTGCCTTGCATCGGGGCCATACTTCTGCAACCGACTGTGCAACACACCACGTTGATCACTATTCACCAACCCTAGCATACTTGTATGTATAGGCCTGGCACAATCTGGGTGGCTGTGGCACACTTGCTACTCTCAATCTGCTCACAACCGGACGAGCTCAGAGCTCTTAAAGTCGTGAGTCGTGAGCTTCCTGGAGTTCCAGTACTGGCACACTAAAAGACAGTACTCAGCCCGAAGACCGAACTCCGTATACAAGGCACGCCTATGCCCCTATGCCTCTGCTTTCAAGGCTTTGGATATCTGAGCTGAAGCAAGACAAGATGACCACCTGCACCCGGAAGACAATGCAGGAACGGCTGCCAGGACTCCGAGATGCATTGACATCGGCTTGTGCGCGCAGGAGCAGGCGTACCACCTCCAGTTGCCCTGCCGCGGCTGCAGCGTGAAGTGGTATGTCAGACCAGCCGTAGTACATATCGTCCACGTCTGCCCTCCCCTCGATAAGCAGCTGCAGGGCATCCAGGTGGTTTGCGGCTATGGCAGCAGTAAGGGGTGTCCGACCCGAGATATCTGCTTCGTTCAAGCAGGCCCGGGCAGCTATCAAGGTGCGCAGGATGGCAAGGTTGCCAGAAGATGCGGCTGCGAGCACAGAGTTGTTGCCCCAGCAATTCCCTTCGTCTACGTTCGCTCGTGCTTGGAGGAGGAGCTTCACCACCTGGCGGGTAAAGTTTTCGCAGCAAGTTCCGAAGCAAGAATGATTCGATTTGACGGCATGCCCCTGCTACTCGCTGCAACAAGCTCCAAAAACGTAGGACCGATGAACCCCCAACCCCAGAAAAAGTGCCCCTGTATATGGCGAAGAAACTACATAAGCTCCTGAGGCAAATGAAGTGGGGCCGCAACAGAATGGAACACGATTTGTGAACATCACATGAACAGAAACAGTTAACACCTACACAACGTTTCGATAATCTCGAAAACTGTATGACACTTGACATTCTAGGAATCCCCCCCAACAATCTTGTAAAAGCCTTGTGAAACCCTAGGCCCTAAACCCTTATCTCCAACCCCCGATACAGAAGCTTTGTATGAACCCGGAAGCCTCCTAAACCCCCCTACAGGAGCTTTGTCTGATCTCCCCATACCTACAGTATAGAACACTACACTACCGAAACCCTCTTGGAAGGAAGCCTCTTACCAGCTTTGTATGATCTCCCATACCTACAGTATAGAACCCTACACCCCAACCCTCTTGGAAAGAAGCCCCCTAAACCCTAAACCCCTAAACCCTTTCCAGCTTTCTATGATCTCCCATACCTACAGTATAGAACCCTATAAACCCTAAGCCCCTAAACCTTAAACAGAATTCTATGATTTTCCGGACCTCGCCATGGCCCGAGGAGGCCGCTTCAAGCAAAGGGCTTCGCCCCTCCGAGTCGCCGAGATCCTGCCGGGGGTTTCGGGTTTTTTTTTACAGCTCATATAAGGTTTATGGGGCTCATGAGGTTTGTAAGGCTTAGGGTATATGGGGTTTAAGGTATAGGGTTTAGGGTAAAGTTTAGGGTATATAAAGTTTAGGGTTTTATAGGGTTTGGGGTGAGGTTTTAGGGTTTCGACTCTCGCTCTCGCACCGGGTTTAGGAGTTGAGGGTTCGTGGTTTAGGTGCTTCTGGGGGTTAGAGTTGTTTGGGCGGGGGGGGATTAGGGTAATATAGGGTTTATCGCTTACCCGGGAAATATACCTTAATCCACGTTGGGCTTAGTTGCAATGAATCAAGGGCTTCTTCCTTAGTAGGGGCTTCCAGGGTCTAAGGAATCAGGATCCGTGGTTATGTAGGGGTTAGGTCGTAAAAGCGGGCTTAGCGGCTTCGGGCAGGGCTTATGGTTTTGGGCTTGAGCGGTTTCAGTGCTTTCGGGTCTACAAGGGCACAAGGGTTTCGGGTTTAGGGCCCCAAGACTGCAACCCATAAAGGCCGGCACTCTAAACCCCTAAGCCTTTGAAAACCGCCTCCATCCAAGGGCGGCTTCAGCAAAAACATAGACACTATGCCACCGAACCTGTAAACTCCTGAAAACTAAAGCCCATTCCCTACACTCTCTGCCATGCAGAACCTGCTCCTCCCAACATAGAACCCTCAGCAGTAGATTTGTTTCGGGTTTGAGAGTAGAGCAGAGTGAGACGTCCGACAGCCGAAGCAGTTTCAGTGCGGAAGCTTCACCCACTCTGGAGCCCCAATATCGTGCCAAACCAATGAGTATCCATAACAAAACTAAGGCTGTCAGGGTTTCGGGCTGTACCGTGCCATGGTTGACTTCAAGGCTTCCAGGTTGGCTTGAAAAACCGAACCGTGTCAGTATATCCTGTACATCCGACACCCCTCTACGCTGAAAACCCTCGGTGGCTTTCGCGCCCAAGCGCCAAGTTTACCCAACCGGGTCCTTCTCCGCCCCTGCCTCAAGCAGCAGTTGTGCAGCAGTCAGACGACCGTGGCTGGCCGCCTCCAAGAGCGCAGTTCCTCGTGTGCCTTTGGCGTGGGGTTCAGGGCAGGGACAGATTCCGTAGCTTCGGGTTCTGTACGATCTGTACGTAGAAAGTGCAGAAGATGTATCAGGTCTTTTGGAAGCATCGGTGCCGTTCAGGTTCGCGTTTGCGCGAGACTGGAGCAGTAGCTGCACCAGGTCGGTGTGGTCTCTGCGGATGGCAATCTGCAGGGCCGAAAACCCGCGCATGTCCAGAGCGTCTAAGGCTGCCTTGGCCTCGCAGAGCGTGTGAGCACTCGACTCACCAAGGCAAGCTCTGAGAACCCCAAATTCCCCAAGAAAGGGCCACAGAGACGCCTCAGAGCCTCAACCCCGAAAAATTCCTTCAGGACCGAGAAGCCCGAAACCCCCCCAGGCCCCAGCCTGACAAAGCAGCTCCACCAACTGTGGGTTCCCCAAGAAGCTGGCAGCAGTCAGAGCCGTGAAACCGGAAAAGTCGGAGTCCGAAAACTGGGAAAAGAAGCAGTTCGGGTCCTGCGCCTTGCCGAGGAGGTCCTGATGGCTAGGCTAGAAGGAATATATATATATATACATACATATATGTATATATATATAGATATAGGGATAAGGATCGACTGATACCAAACATGGAGCAGCCGTTTATAAAACAAGCATCGGCCCTATGTCCTGCGTGTCGCTGCTACAACCAGCAAGCAAACACACAATTAGGGAGACAGGAGAGGGAGGGAGCGACAAAAATGGAGACAATATTCCACTATGTGTAGCTGCTGGTTTTTGTCGAATTCTATTCTTTGGCTGCTGACAAAGGAGAAAAAGCTCACCTCATGTTGCTTCATCCGTCATATCGACATCTCCTCAGAAATGCATCACATCAAAACCTGAAGATGCCAATACTGTAGACTTTGGGAGACTATTCGAACCGTGTCTTCATATAGCAAAAAACGGCCATACCGCTGAGTCACATTTGTCGCTTGTATTATTTTATAGACAAAACACCCAACACCAACGCTCGATGAATGTGTTTCTCCATGTGTGTCCAGGCCCTGATTGGATACTACAGCTAATGTACATACATACGTACACATATCTTTTGGGTGTGTATACCGGTATCGTAAAACAAAACACGTATAATGTGCACATAGTTGTGCATGTATACTTAAACTGTGCATATGCATACATGCGTGTATGTACTCTCTCACACACACAGAAACACTTTCGGCAACATCACGAGCTGCTGGAAACGGGAGAGGTGACGAACGTGCACGCTTCGGTGGCAAGGCTTGTGGGTAGGGACAAAAGGAAAGCATTCTTTGCGTAGCCGCTGCACCTCCGCAGCCGCAACATCCTGAGAAGCGACGGCCGCGAGAAAGGCTGCATCGTAGTCGTGAACCAGGCCTCTGGAGCTTTGTGCTTCGTGGCACATTCATCCAGAATCTCAAGCACAAGGTCTACGACCTGGTCATGAAGAGCCTGCGTCCCACAGCAGCTCCATACTGAACTCCTAAAGTTCCTCTTCCGCAAGGCTTGGGGTGGCCCAAGCGCAACACCCACAACACTGACAAGCCTGGAAATTCCAAGAAGACTGCGGTCACGTCCAGCGTGCCGGAACAGTTCTGCATCATCTCGCGGCATTTGGCGGGTCAGTTACGCGCAGCAATGCACAAGCATCTGGTAGGGTTTCCAGAAGTCTGTAATTCCAACGTATAAGGCCTGATTACGGCGAAATGCCGGTTCTTGTGACTAAGCAGAAGGCATTTGAGGTCCATCATTCGGTCTTCGAAGGCAATGGGTCAGAAAAGGTGATCCCACTAGCACAAGAAATGCCATGTTACATGAGGTTGCATGAGTGTCTGCACAGGGTGTCGTTGCTATCTTGTTGGATTGCTTTGTTCCGGGCTGTCTTTTGTGAACCGCAGCGATTGTGTTCTTCAAAAAAGTACGAAGTGTCATGATATGCCCATACACTCACTTTGTTGAAGCTGTGTTGTGTATATCTACATACTAAACAAAAAATGCACATAGGTATATACACATGCATATACACATACATGCATCTTGTATAAATAAATAAATAAATATATATATATATCTTACATACATACATCCATCCATCCA